CTTTATTTTTTAAGGAGAGACATGAATTTAAGACGATTCAAAAATAAATTCCTAGTTTCTCTATAAAAGACAAGTAGTTGAGATCAGTAACAAATATTCAAGATTTGAATTGTTCGATGAGCAGCAGCAGGTTAATTCGAATGGAAATTTGCGAGCTACCGAGGGTTAAGATCCTAAGATGGAAATTGTGCAGGGGGAGCAGCTGTTTCTCAAACCCGATCGTTTAGCGACATTGAAGCCCCATTACAAGAGCGAGAAGCCACCGCAATACACGACGTTCAAGCCGAACAACTGAAGATTTTCCTATGTTTATTTTATATTGATATACACGAAAAAAATATATGTACGAGATAGAAAGTAAAAGCGGACGAGGGGAACGACGCAAAGTGGCACGAAATCAAACGCAAAACTGTAGCTCTACTTCGATCAGCCTCATTTATTACGAATATGAGATATTTAGGAGAACTGCGTATACATATATGCAACATGTAATAATTGCGAATTTATTCAATGCGAATCCGTCGTGGCGTTCGATTGAAAGACGTAACGAGTCTCTCGCTAAAATATACTGCCGATAATTTCGGAAAAATGATCTCCAGAACCAATCAAAACGACAACACTATGCATATTTATAACGCTTACAATAACATTGTTAATAAAACGATGGTTTCCATCAGCCTATTTTTATTGACACCTTTAGAGTAAGCAGTACGAATAGTATAGTTATGAAACGTTAATACTCTTATGATGCGACAAAATTCGATTATCAGTAATATATATTGAACATTATTGTCATAAATATAAATTTATAATACCTAAAACCTTCCGAATCCGATCCTAGAAAATTAAGATCTTTTCTACGTGATTACAAATACAGATTTATGATTATCATGTTATCTACTTGACATTTTATTATAACAGAAGTATATGTCAATGTAAGTATACCCTGCGTTTTTTCTTCAAATTCTATATTTTACAGTTTTTTTTCATTTGTTTGTATTTTAGGATTTGAAACTATAAATATCGTTGCATATTACAAAATGCTACATTTTAAAGATCGAAATTTATGTCACATTATAAAGTGATTCTTCTACAATTACATTTTAGTTTTTGCAAAACTCTTTGATGCATGAAAAATTTGTATGATCTTCATGAGCGTAGCCAGGATTTTGTTTAGGGGAAGGGGGGGGGGCACATTTAATCGAGACCTTTGAATCCAGGAGAAGAAGGAAGGTAGATGAAGATTATTAGATTTTTGTTTCAGTATTATTATTTTTAATTAATTACTAGTAGATAAATCACAAAATTACATACATTTACTTTACTAATTTACTTTATTTTTCTTTTAAAATTGTAAACTGATTCTCCGAATTGAAAAGACTTAGATTTACAATATTAGCCGTCTTCGATTCTCAGAAAATCTTTCTATAACTTTCATCTTCAATTCTTTCTTTCTTTCTAAAATTAATTTCTTGTGAATACTCATTAAATATAATTCGTTCAAGCGGTTTTAATTAATTTTGTTCTTTAAAATTTAGGGAAGTCACAACTTCCCTGACTCCCTTGGCTAATGATATTAATATTAATGCAAATAATATAACTCAAACGCGACAAAGAATTATAGAAACTGCAGTTCTTATTATAGATATATTGTAGTGTAACATCTCTTATTATTTTATCTTTATCTTAAATTTTATTGATACTGCATAAAATACGAAAGGATGAAACATTTTACAATTCATTCTTACTTATCTTGTTTACCATTTCGCTATTAAATTACGATTCAGATTCAGTCACACGCCTCAGAATCTGTATATTGATCGATCAATGATGGAGGAAGATTGAAATCCGAGTGCCAGATCGAGCTCGTCGACCACAAGATTGCGGATTTCGCGAGGCGGTGAAAAAGATGCAGGATGAAACTTTCCCGATTTTGTATTACCGACGTTAACCTTGAACAAATATTTATCCCATTGGAAGTATAGATATAAATAAAAATTGAAAGAAATACTAGTAAATATAGTAATAAAAATTCATTTGTCTGTTTGCTTAAAAATTTACTTATTTATATTGTCCAAAACTTGAGAAAACATTTATAACAATGTAATATCGTAACACACACATAATAATGAAATTGTTCTATGCCGTTTCATTGGAATGTATTAGAACATCTTTAGTTTTCGTTATACTTTAAATATACAATTTATTTTTTTTATAGATACAAATGTAAAATACATTAATTCATAAAAAACAGTAATAATTCTTATTATTTACATAATTTCCTTCATAGTAATAAAAAACATTTTGTATTTGTGTTAGAAACAGTTCATTGAAATTCTTGTTAAAGCTTTGTATCGAATTTTTAGTATATTCGAGTTAATTTAACATAATGAGAATATGTTATTTAAATATTTTAAATTATATTGATTTCTTAGTATTAAAATAACACACTTATGAGTAAGTCAATATAACATAAAAATAAAATTCTACGATAAATGAACGAAATGTGTTAATTGATACATTATAAATATTAAATTTATTGAAACATATTAATTTAACATATTATAAATATTAATTTTGAAGAAATATAATTGCTTACAACTTGTGTCAGTGTTTTTCGTGTTAATTTTTTATATAATATTTGTATTATCTTCTAACATATTCATCTTGTGTTAAATTAAAACAAAAATTTGAATCGACTGTTTGGGACATGTATATTTAACATAAATTT